GCATGACGATACACGTCAGCAAAGCTGGTAAAGTTGACCCGGTTGAAAGGGTAACCCTACCTGTGCTTGTAAACAAGAGCTAACTTTGGCCCGCTTGCTAGGGTAACCCTAGGACAAGAGTAACCCTCTCTCCTTGTAAACAGGCCCTAAGAGTTCTAGTGCCAATTTAACCCTTTAAGCGTCAATATCCAGTTACAAATTCCCAAACTGATCTCCATGCATTTCCCGAAAGAGCTCGTTGACAGAATTTGACAAAGCATTTTCCCTTTGATGATGATTATAATAATTTTCATGTCTTTTTCTCTTGATAATCTTCAGTCCTTGAACACTTGATTAAGTGCAAGATTACTAGTCACTGTAATTTCCAAAGCTTTATTCACCTTTTGAACAACAGGGGCCTGGCCATTCCACAGGTATCCCAAGTAAACTCAAAAAGAGCTCAAATGACAACGAAATTGCTGATGATGTCTTTTTGCTGGTAATAACCAAAGGTAAGGGAGTACGGGTGAGATAGATCGAAGGTCAAAGCGTTCTTGCTGTAATACTGTGATCTGCGTACGTTTTCCACGCGGTAGACGTTCTATGCTGATGCATGCCTTTTATTCTTGGTGGTAGTCCAAACGAATGATGGGGTCAATTCACTTTTACAAGCGTAATCTACTAGTGTAGCTATTGTTTTCAGACTCTCAAAAATTACACTTGTAAAATTTTATCAAATTGGCCCCTGGCTACATAAGTGCCGCTCATGCGCAATAGCAACCTGGAGATTAAGACTGCGGACTCCAACAAGGAGCTTTACTTCACGAAGGAAACCTTTGATGAAAAGAAAGTCTAGGATGTCTTAGCTTGGTAATACCAGTACCTGATTAACCAAAAGTACACGGAGAGGTGATGCTTGCGTATGGGCGATGGGTTGTGCAAAGACAACGTCCTTGAGACAGTGAACCACAACGGACGATGAGACAAGCTCTGACACTCGAGTCAAGGGAACCATGAGATGATGTAGGATCTGCAGTGGAATGACAAAACATTTGAGTAAAGAACTGTTCGTTCAAACAGGTTTGTTTATAGTGGAAGTGCAGTTAGCTTATCCAGCCAGTTAACAGGCACTCCAAGAGCGGATGTAGGGGTGGGCCCAGGGGGCCCCGGCCCCCCCGCTTTTGTCCGGGAATAGTTTTTTTCTTTTGTAAACGTGTGTCGGATGGTACTTCGAGTTTTGTAACTTAAATATATTTTCTTTAATAAACATTGTTAAAAAGAAAATTTATCGAACGTTTTTCGAATCAACCACCCTTATAAACTGGCTTCAAACCGACAAACTGAAAGATTTAAGCGTCCAGAATGCACTAGATTGCATCTCAGAGAAATTCAATCTCAAAAATTTTCCCGGAGGAGCAAGCGCCCGAAACTCCCTAGAAAAGTGCGCCGTTCGCAGTCCTGATAGGTGAGATCGCGCCCATATTGACACTGTATACTATATCTCTAGGCGCCCTCTATCACAAAATCCTCCGTTCGCCCCTACACTCTATTCAAATATAGAACATATCAGGATTAAAAACCACGAACGGAAAGCTATTCAAAAGTCTGGCCGAGGATTTGAGCTCGGGACGTCTGTAAACAAACAAAGCAAGAGGCCAGAGCGGGCCTTGAACCCAGGAACACAGGACCGCGAATCCGATGCGCTGACCACTTGGCCACACTGTGCGCTACTCATCATTACAACGAAACATTTTAATGTATAGATAAACCTCTTCATTGGCGTCTTTCTTAATAAGTGTCACGATATTCCTGGTAATGGCCATCAACACGGCTTCTATCTGCGTCTGAAAATAACGGCAAAAAATGAATACAATACAATACAGTACAGTACAGTACAATACAATACCACATAATACATTACATAATACAATAAAATACAATACAATACTAAAAAATAAATAAGTGATGGTTTTTAAGGAGAGGGGGAAACTGGGGTACCCGGAGAGAAACCTCTTGGGTTAAGGGAGAGAATCAACAACAAACTCAACCCACATATGGCGTCGACGCCAGGATTTGAACCCGGGCGTCATGGGTGGAAGGTGAGTGCTCTCACCACTGCGCCACCCTTGCTCAGTAGTGACATGTAACTTGTAAATCTGCAGACTGCAAAGCCATGTAAAAGCAGTACTCTCACAAAGCACTATTCATTCAGTATGTAGTTCAACTTTCGAATCTGAGGACAAAATTGAGCGGTGTGAAACAAATGAAACCTCATCAACTGCACTTTTTTTTCGTTTAGCTTCGAATGCATTTCCTGATTTGGGCTCGGTCGGTCGGATAAAAAAAAAAAGTACAAAAAAAAACCAAACAACACGTATTGGGTCTGGTACCCCAGCATCATTGTTGTTGAGCCTGGAAACAACATCGCATTGTAAAAAATCAATAAGGATACACAGCATGAACCATGCTACGAAAAGTTGTTACAATGCTCATTTTTCAGATTCCTGTCAAACTTAGAAAACCGTGAACACCCGAAAAATTTCAGGAACGTTTATTGTGTACTGGCCAATCACATCAAAGTTCAGGATACGCAAGCAAACCTCAAAACCACAAACTGATTACCGTTGCTGTTTGCGGTTTAGTTATCTCGCTCGAATCTCGCGCCTTATTGGCTTATTTCTCGCAACACAATAACATTTCATAAATATTTCTGGTGCTCACGGTTTTGTGAGATTCACAAAAGAAATTAATTAAAGTTAATTAAAGTTAAAAAGAAGTTTTACCAATACTTGTTTTTTGAAAATGCTAAAAATTTGGGTCGGTCAGACGACGCCAAACAAAGACAGAAAGGGAGAGGCCTAAGGACATTTGGACCTTTTCGTGAATTCTGTTCGGTCAATGTTTACGTCAGACGGTTAAGCCATTTTGCTTGAAGAGGGTTATATGTAAAAAGAAATACAAGCTCTTAACACAACCGACCATCCTAACACTATATAAATGGGAACGCATGGCTAGTCGAAATCATGGGTCAAAGGAGACTGACAGGAAAATCAAAACATCTGTAGCGATCTGCGAGTCACACCAAGAACCTTTTTCTCGTCGATTTTAAAGGAGCTATGTCACCATGAAATTTTTGGTGCTACAAAAAAGTTAAAAAACAGGTTGGAATCAAAGAAAACACTAAAATGATTTATGTATCTCAACTGTAAATTAGGTCATTGACTTTCAAAGGTAGGCATGAAAACGGAATGCAAATTAAAACAATTGGGCCAGCTTTTTCAAGTTACATTCCTGTGTCAAAAAATGACCAAAAACCAATCACGCTTTATTTTCCCTTCAATAGAATCATTTGATATTTTTCTCTCACAGTTCCAATTATGAAAATGATGACTGAGAATACTTAGTTAAAATTTCAGCTCAGCTTTGTCCGAAAACTGTAAAAATCACCATCAACTTACTTTTTAACCAAATACATGAAAATTGCTCTACCATGACTCTTTTTATGGCTTAGAAAGGCGATCAGCCATTTGCTGATGACAATAGGGAGTTTACGCAACGACGACGACGACGACGACGACGACGGCAACGAGAACGGCAAAAAACAATAGGTTTAGACAATGAAAACAACAAGTTTGCACGTGCATCACGCTTTTTTGTACATTTCTCTGCCGTCGTTGCACGAATACAACGTGAAACTGCCTAATTTCACGTTTTGTCGAGGACGAGAACAAAAGACAACAACTTTCTTTTTCTTTTCCTGAACTTTGATGCAGTCCTTTAGAATTCAACTCCACAACAATTTGCCAACATCTGACGAATTAAACGAGATGGAATAAGCGCGATAAAGTTTGAGGCAGCGCAAACTCACTTTTTAAGTGAGGTTTTCGAAGCCGTCGCCTTCGTCGTTGCGTAAACTCCCTAATGACAAATTCAAGAAGCAGAAAGAAGGAGCATAATGATTAGTTTAAAACATTTAATGGAGAAGTTAACTTGATCTGCCTACCGTGTTAAAGACTGGTAGACATCTACTGAGAAGACGTTTTCCTTTAAGAACCAATAGAAACTGTACAAAGAATTCATCATCACATCTGAAAAAGAAGAATACACAATACATTTCCTTAGTTCTGGGAATTCCGCGGCAAGAGAAAAACAAGAATGATGCGTCAACATGTTTTGACTGTGTTTTTAGAAATACACATGTACATATAAAGTGACCTAGGGTCAATTTAATAAAACTCTTGCAAGTTTAATTTACAAGTGTAGCTATTGTTTTCAGACTCTTAAACAATGGCTACAGTTGTAAATTACACTTGTAAGAGTTTTGTTAAATTGACTCCTGCATCAATTTGTCAGAAGGGATTAAAACCTCTCTCCACCCTCGGACATTCATTATTAATTGATTGTGAGAAAACAGAATCTTAAAGGAGTTGTGTCATGGCTGTCTAGATTAATTTGTCAATATTGCCAATTACGCGTCGTTTTTTGCTAGGGAACATAAAGTTAGCCCCCCCCCAAAAAAAAAAACTGTACAAGGCAAAAAAAAAAAACACTTAGTTAAACAAATTTGTCTCCTCACCATATGTAACAAACGACAAAAATGAACTTTGAAAAAACGTTAGCCTAACAAGTTACATGTATCAAAACCAAAATTGCAATCCGTTTTAATCCTCTTCGAGTTTGCCCATCCATGCCTTATTTTGTTTTTGCTGTGTTATTTAAATGTCCTTTAATTACTTTGAGCTGTTTTTTTTATGTTGCTCTCTATCTGGTGGCAGTTCTTGCATGTACTATCTGAATTTTGAAAACATTCGTGAAAAAGCCCCTTCAAACAAGGGGTAAAAGGTAAGGCCTGCATTTGAGCCCTTTACCCAGGCCTCCACGTCGGGATTATCCCGATAACTGTAACATGAAAAGAAAAACGTAGGATCTTCCTCCTCAGTTATTTTAAGACCCTGAGTATATTGGTCTGGTCACGGGAATAGAACCCGCGACCTCCCGCTCTGCAGGTCAGCACTCTTCCTACCGAACTAATCCTACCATGGTCAGTCATACCGAAGCAGAACGTAGACGTTTTTTTGAGCATTAGGGAACTCAATTGGTTAGTGCGATTTTCGTATGACCTTGAAAAATGGTTTTGGTAAGTGTTCCTTATTTGTTTTATTAGCCAATGGATGAAAAAAAAAATCAAAACAGGGCCTCTTCGTTTTCCCGCCAAAGAAAACCCTAATATGGAGAAGGCATCGTTCGATTGGCCAATCGTGTTTATGACGTCAAAGTGAAGTATCGGCTGATTTCTAGAAAGTTGTCGGGGAAGGTTTCTCACCCGCGCGTTCGCTTAAACAACCAAAAGCCACACGCGTTTGTATAAATTCTATAAACCAATCAAATCGCTCTATTTCCGTTCCTGTGGTTCCTGTTTTGCTCGCGCGTTTTCATGTCAAGGTCAGACGAAAATCGCCCTATTAAAAAATAGTAAAGTGAACAAGAAATGAGAACGCAGTGCGCAAACATACTTTGTAGTGTCATCTGTAGAAAGTTTCAAGAGATTGAATAGCTTTGTAACAGCAAGTTGTCTAGTTTTCAAAAGCTCATTTCTGAAAAACAAACAAACAAACAAATATCAGTTCACGCACACGCAAAAATAAAACGTCTCAACATACGAGCGGGCACTTTGTTGAAAATGATATTATTAGCGTTAGCTGGGGGACCAAGAGTGGTGCCCTCCACAAGGCCGTAGATGGGTTAAGTTCGTTGCTGGTTTTCTCCCTTGCTCCTAGAAGTTTTCTCCAAGTACGCCGGTTTTCCCCTCTCCTCAAAAACCAACACTTTTCCTACACTAAACGAGTTCTTAAAGGAGCTGTGTCACAGTTTATTTTGTTCATAATGCCAGTTGATACCAGTTATGGGTCCTTATTCGCAACGAAACTTGAAAAAATTACTTGTGAATGACAAAATCACAGCTTTGTGTCAAACAAATGTGTCTCCCAAGCATAATCTCAGTCCTTACAAACAACAAAAAGGAACTTTGAAAAACAGTTAGCCTAACAAGTTTTCAAAAACCACCGAATGCAATCTGTTTCAATCTTGTTCTTCAAGTTTATCCATCCGTGCTTCCTTCTGTATTTGCTGTTATTTATACGTCCTTCTTTTTACGTTTTGAGTGGTTATTTTTATGTTTCAGTCAATTTGGTGGCAGTTCCCTCTGTTTGAATTCGTGACACAGCTCCTTTGAGAGTTCTTAAATGTTTAAGTCCCTGTCCACACCGCACGTATCTGTTTGTGTTTGAAAATGGAGATTTTTTTCCCTCTGGTTTGGCCTATCGTCCACCCGTGTCCGGTGAAAACGGTCAGCGGAAACGCATCTTTTCAAATCACTCTCCAGAGCCAAAATTTTCGAAAACGCCGTTTGCTGGACTCGTGTGGATGCAGGAAAAACGAATACGTTGCGGTGTTGGATCCACGATCCTACCCCGCGCACGAGATGAGACGAAATGCCCATGCTCCAATCAAAGAAGGTACCGCTTTCAGTAACTACTGCATTTTCGCTTGCACGGGAAAAAACGATTCAAAAACGCAACGTGAGGAGAAAAGCGGAGAAAAAAAATCTCCACTTTCAAACAAAAACGGATACGTGTTAACGGGAACTAAGTGGGTAAAGAAATCAAATGTACATACTTTTTGACAACATACACACCTTTCCTCTTCCTCGAGATGAATTAACTTTTTGTCTAAACTTTCAACATTCAACAGATGATCATAACCCTGAAAGCGAGAGTGAAAGGCACAGTTTGAGCGTTCCGAACAATCAGTCAAAAACCATCTAAAGAGTACAACTACAGGCAAGTTTGTGCCCTCCACCACGCAAAACTGTAAAATTTCGCGACTCTGAGGAGCTATAGCTTCGTTAGTTTTCAACAAATCACTTTTAAATTTGGAAATCGCACTAATGTTGAAGGTGCTCTTTCCAGCGGAATCTACGGATTTTTCCTGACTTGTCCATGTCAAAAGTAGAAAAAACTGTGGAAAGGTCAATTTATTGTTCTTTAAAGACAATAACAAATCTTAGAATAAAATCTTAGCCACAATGTCCCTATCACACAGTACCTTTTCTATAGTGAGCAACAGCTGTCCACGTCGTTTTGTTTCCTTCATAGGTGTTGAACTTCCATGTTTCTCCTAGCAGGAGTCAAGTAACCATTCAGATGCAGTGGCGGATCCAGGGGAGGGGCTCGCTCGGGGGGGAGGGGGAGGGCGAGACCCCACCTTATTTTAAGACATTTTTAGACCAAACTGAGGGCCGGAGGGAACGAAAAAAAATTTTTTGAGACCCCCCCCCTCTTCTCCGCCTCTTATGTGAACGCCTGGATCCGCCATGAGATGTTCAGCAAAGTTGTAAGTTAATTCCTTTTAGTTTTCATAATTATTTTAGTTAGCATTCACTATTCAAACATCTGCTATCGTCTGCAGTAGTTTTGCTGACTTTACGGCAATGATCGTTGAGGATACTATCATTTATCAACATACTAACTTGCTCATCATACTAACTTCGGATAGCCGTGAACAAAATTTCTTTTAGCTCACTCGAGAATAAACAGCTAGGCGGCAACGCCTGGAAACGAGGTTGATCAATAGTCTGTTCAGTTGCCCATAGAGCCTTGTTTCTAGGCAAATATACTGTTGATCAACCTCGTTTCCAAGTCAATATACCATCGAACTGATGGTATATTGCTCCCACCTTCCATATTTGGTCAGTCCCAGTTGGTTATGAAGAATAAGCTGGGGGCTTTCAGCCAATTAGAAATGGCGAAACATTTTGAATGAATAATTAAAAGAAATATTTCTTGCTATTAATCATGCCACAAAGGGGAGTAACTGCAGAATACCTCGCCATTTTGAAGCTATATCCCTTTAACAGTCGCTACGTAGCTACATGGCTACGCGGCTACGTGGCTAGTGGCTACGCAGCTTACCCTAACGGTAACTCTAACCCTAAGTGGCTACGTGGCTACGTGGCTACGTGACTACGTAGCTAACCTTAACAGTAACTCTAACACTAAGTGGCTACGCGGCTAGCTTTCTATTACTATTTACAATTAGCGGGAAATGCTGCGGTCGTTTGAAATATTTTAGGCCAATACATATGAAATCCTAATCAGGTTACAGCTAATAACCAGCCCTGTAGCCGCCTAGCCAAGTAGCCACTGTTATTAGGGGTATAGCTTCCAAATGGCCGGGTATTCTGCAGTTAATCCAACAAAGGTAACAGTGAGTCAGCAGCCCAGGCAGTAGTACTGTACCTGTTCAGGTGTTTTAGTGATGTGCATTAAATCCACCATTTGCCTTGGATGTTGTACAGATGATGAAGACACTTTTCCCAGAGTTCCTTGGTAATGCGCTGTAAAAAAGAAAACAATTACATGCACATTGACTTACCGTAACCTTTCGCTTGGTGTAGAACTTCGTAAGGGGTTTTAGGAGTACTTATAAATCGGGGGAGGCTTGTATCTGGGGAGCTTATAACTGGACTAAAAAAAAAGCATTTCAAATCAAGTTACATACACTGTAGCAGTGCTGATCAAAAAATTAAATTTTGAGTAAATTTTTTAATTTTCTCACTCTTCAAGCTACGAAACTTAAACGTCATAAAAAAACGAATTCATTTCAATACAAGGTAGAGGGGGTCTTATATCCGGGGGGGGGGGGGGGGCTTATAACCGGGTGTATTATTTTGTTTACAGGTAGATGGGTCCATTACTGTGAGAGATTATAAGTGGGGAGGGGTGGGAGGGGGGAGCTTATAGGCAGAAGCTTACGGTATTTCAGTAAAGCTGCAGCTAGTATGCTACAGAATATCACCTGTTACGTCACAAACCTTAAAATAATTGTATTGGTCTTGGCAATTACCATTGTAGGAGATCACAAGACCTCTAAGGTTTCATTAAGAAAAGATAGTTAAGAAATGCGAGCACTTGTACATAATTTGCACTCACTTGGGGTGTAGGTCTTCTTTTCCCTTTCAAACTGTGGTAATGCCATCTTGGTTGTCTCATTACTCTTCCTGTTGTCTTCAATATTGGGCCGCAACTGAACACCCTCGCTCTGCTTCTCACGTTCTTTAGCAGCTTTTCTTCTTGTGTACGTCTGACAAAAGTTGAAAACAATGTAAATACAAATCGGTATTTTAGACACTAAAACGTAAATAAGAAAGGCCTATAACTTATAACAATACTCATTAAAATGCCAAAGCTAAGGTCAACATTAAACAATGCGCTCATTTTATCCCCCCTTCTATCTCCATTAGTGCTCAGTTTTACAGGTATTTAAAGCTACTTAAAGCTATACGGAAAGGAACAAAGTGTAAACAAGGATTTGGGCTCACACCAGGGGACCTCTTGCAGAGAAGGCTGTGCACTATTCGACTAAAAAGATTTTCGCTCTCCAAGCAACTGCCCTCATCTGTGCTCTTAAAGTGGCCCTTTTAAAGAGTGAAAAGAGGACTGTGGAACCCCCCGGCCTACCATACAGCCAACTCATTTACAGCACCACCTTGATTAATTTTGTCCCAGCAAATGGCCCTACCTTTTCTGACAAGACAGCACCAAAACGCAAACTAAAGAATTACCAAAAAAATTATTCTACTGTGTGTTTACTTTCATGGGGTATTACAGCATCTAAACATGATTGTTTATACCAGTTTTTGGTCAAAAAGGTTCTTGGATTTGCAAGAGAGCAAGCCTGAATTTCCAAGGTTTTGCGTGATGTAACATTTAGATGGCGGCTGAGAAAGCTATCATGTAGGTTGAAAAAGTTATCGATCGTTTGAGATTTTGCTATCTGAACATTACTTGTCTCTGGATAAATATCACTTTAATCTTTATGAGTTCCTCAAGCAATGAATTCATGCTTTATGGCAGAAATTATGATTTAATAAAGACAGATGTTTCTGTTGGTATTCGGCTGCCATGGTTGTGCCTCTCAAACAGACACCAACCTGGCGTCTTTATACAAAGCTTTATAAATGTGGGTAAAACAGTTGTTTTCCTGAGTATCTCACATATCAAAAATCAGAGAAATCAAATTCTTGGCAAGACTTTTGGTCCTCCATTTCCCAGAGTTTTTACTTTGATTGAATGGTTTTGATTTTGATTGGTGATGGCATGGCAATGAAAACCACCAATATGTACCTGGAAGTAGTAATCATCAAGCTCAGGTTCATTACTAGTGAGTTGAATTAACTGGATCTTGATCAACCATTCCTTTTCTCTTCTAGTCATGAGCCCAGCATATGGATCATCCTTTCTTGGGGCACTTTCTGCCATTGTTAGGATGTTGTGAATTTTCCTCTCCAAGTCAGTAAACTGGTGTTGATGTTCACCTCTATCCTGCTGTCTGGGTGAGCGATTATCATTAAAGAAACGGTTATCATACTGCTGTCTAGGAAAATTCTGCCGTGGGTCTGGAAATCTTCTGTTATGAAACTGAGGACTGGCAAATCTTGGGTGCTGGGGACTCACTGGAAAGTTCAGCATGCCTCTTTGTAACATTAGGTGACCTTGTTACAGAATAAAATTTTGAATGTATAATGTTACAGGTCAAAATTATATTCAGGTTAAAATTTATTAAAAACTAGGTTGATTCTTAATTTCTTTTGTCTCCTAGCCCTAATTCATGAATAATTAGGGCTAGGAGACAAAGGAAACCGAGAATCAACCTTAATAGGTTAAAAAACTTTAACCTAAATTTAATTTTGACAGGTATCATATACACTTACATTCTACTTTTTAAATAAATAAATAATACAAATTAATGATTTAGAGGTAGCACTTCCACTTGGTGGCTTATTGTCTAACTTATTCCTGGTCTAACTGGAATTTGGAAGTGTGGTTTTTGAGGAAAGGGGCAAATCAGAGCACCTCCACCTACATACATGTATAGTGTTCACATCAGGATTTGAATCCAGGCCACATTGGTGGGAGGTTGAGTGCTCTCACCACTACACCACCCTGGCTCTGTTATCACAACTGACAGCATTGCAATCCTAGGTAACATATTTTGTTTTTTGGCTGACCTCACAGAACTAATTTTAACAATTTTACATCTGAATCTTGCAAAAAAAGAGGTTTAAGAGTTTATATTGTTGGATTGTCCAATCTATATGTGAAGCACACAAACAATGTACCAACTGGACATGTTAAAACTGGATAATAATTTGTTTTATTATTCTTAAGTTAAGCCTAACAAGGTGAGAGAAAACCTTGTAATTAGAACTGAAATCGACTGGGAATTACTTCACAAAATCATGCATCACATCATGTACTATAAATTGTACCCACCAGGGTCTGAGTGAATCATGGGAAATGGAGACCTTGGAAAAGGTGTCCTTGGAGTTCTCATCATATGAGGGCCTGGGCCTGGACCAGGACCAAGAATTCCAGGCATGTTAGACATTCCAGGCATAACAGGCATTCCAGGAATACTGTGGTTGGAAGGACTCGGTCTCTGCTGAAACATCTGAGGGGGCCTTGCTGGAGTATGCTGTGAACAATAACACACATTTCTATTTACTATTTCGGTGACTTGCTCAGTGCTGAGTATTTTAGATCAATGTAATACTGTCACTTTTCATAGACCTTTTTTTAACAGAACCACCAGAATCTGGAACACGTTAGTAAATGATGTTCAACTTTAATGTAACCTTCATATCAGTCAATTCAAATCCATCATGTATTAGTACTATGTAGATGGTTCAGAACATAACTACCACCCACGATCCTGGAAAACCATCTGTCCGTCATATAACGTTCACATGTAATGCGTCTCTCCATCTTCATTGTTGCTTTTAATTGTCATATGTAGCTTTACTTTTTTTTCACATATTTTTTAAACTCTGGGACTACTGTAATATTGGCTTACCCCTGTTGTGGTATCCCTGCCTAATTGAGCATTTTATATTATCCTTTGTTTCAGTATATACTTATTATTCTTTGCTATTCAGTGAATAGCATTAACCACTGTTTGAACAACTGGGGCCAGGGGCCCGTTTCTCGAAATTTCCGATAATTAACGGGCCCGGTAAGCTGTCTCCTTTTACATTAAAGATCGGGGTTTCAATAGTTTTGCATCTAACACAATAAAACTGTCAGTTAATGAAACAAAATGGAGTAGTTTGCTAGCCAGGACCCGCGCTCTTATTCTTTATATTTCGATTTGAATATTTGATTTCGGGCCCGTAAAGTTACTGGGACTTTCGAGAAACAGGCCCCAGGAACGTTACATAATTATGTATTTTGCAGTATTCAAGTTCATACATATATAAACACTGTCTATTGTTCTTGTCTTTGAGATCTATTTACTAATAATTACTGAAAACCTTTCAACTGCATGGTTTCTTTGTAACAACTGGTCTTCACACTCTTGCACCCTTTACTTAGGCAGACAGAAAGTGAAAACAAAAGCCTAAAATAATATAGTTCTATTTATTGTGTAAGGCATAAAAAAAGGGCTGTCTGATAGCCTAGGGCTAGTAGAGGGACCCAGCTGGTAAGCATGCTTTAATTACAAGTTGTCTAAAGGGCATGCAATATTTTCCAAGGTGAAGACAAAGTAAATAGAGAGATTAAGATTCACGTTCACTGCAAACGGCAAACGCCAGTCTCAAGTTGAGAATTTCTCAGAATAGAAAATAATGAGATAAAAACAGTCCCGAATGATTCCTATCGTTAAAACTGACATAAAACTACTCTTTTTTGTGTAGAAGCAATAAAGAGCAAACGAAAATCAGGGGAAAACTTGGTTATGTGATACAAATCCACGTCTGCCATTTGGCGTAAACATGAATATTAATCTCTTTAATGTCAGGGTTAGTGGGCCTGCATGGCTACACTGGGCTAAGCACGCTTCAGGAACAGTACTGTTTGCTCGAAAAGGCACATCTTTTTTTAATTTTCACCTCGCCTTGTTCAGCCTTAAGGGATACATGTAAATGGAATCAATGCATTACTCATTGTGATTGGTTTGTGTGGATTGCAATGATTTTACATTACAATACTGTGTTATGATTCTGTGATACCGTAAGATCTTTATAATGCAGACACTAACCATCCTCGCAGATGCAGGAGATGGTAATCCAGGAGGTGTCATCATTGGTCTGGGGATACCAGGCGGTGGCTGGCCAATCATTGTCTTGCGAGGGGTTTGTTTTGGACCTTCTGGCACTTGCTGGGGAGGGGTACTGCTATCACCAGTGAGTTCCTTTTCAAGGTCCTCCAGCTTAATAGCATTTACTGGGGGTGGTTTTTTCATGAAACGGCTTGGTGGTATCAGCCCTGGGGGTGGTATGGCTGTCACTATGGCATCATCCTGCAAAGAAAGCAACGTTAACCCATTCACACCTGAACTACCTAAAACCACCCTAGGCTTGCAGATCCTCATCCTTTGTACTCACTTCAGGGTGCAAAGAAAGTTGGCAGCTACCATACTGTAAACTTCTGCTTATAAGGTACGGGCTTACATGTATATGTCTTTGTAAGGGGCTTTAGGAGGGCTTATTAATGGGGGGTGGGGCTTATAATTTACACCTATTAGGGGAGCTTATAACTGGACTAGAAAACATTTCAAAACAAACTTCATAGCAGAGCTGATCAAAATACGTTTTCTAATTTACTCACTTCAGAATGTTGTAAAAAATTGAGGGGGTATTAGCAGAAGTTTACGGTATACATTGTACTATCTCAAAAGTCATTTGACTAACCCCCAAATTTTATTTTCGACCACGATTAATAATTTCTTATTAATTATTAATTAACTACATAAGCACCCACCACCATTAATTAACTACCTGCTTTCTTTATTCGCTAATAATCATATATTTCTTAATGCAAGAGATAATTTAATGAAAGCTTTAGGAGCCTTACTTCTAAGGTATTTTGAGTAAAGACTTTGCCGATCACACAATGTCTAATCTGACATGAAACGTCATGTGATACTTGTTTTTCGAGATTTTCCTTTGTCACATCAGTTAAGAAATATGGCTTTTGGTCAACATGAATTTACTACAAAGCTTCAGTGTCTTACAGCACTAAAAACACTTTGAAACAGAACTTTGCATTCCCATTGGGCAAGTTAAGAAAGAACTCACTAGCCTGATCATAAGCTCTAACTTGCCCACTCTACAGGACATAACTTTCTTTGTAAACTGTTGTGGTGTTATTAGTTTAATGGTCGTAGACAACTTTGCCACCTAATTTGTGAATGAGTCATCTTTCCATCGACATGTATACACAAATGAGCACAATTCAGTTAAACAGGTGCGACAAAATGCCAAAAAAAAAACATGCAAGGTTGAACAGAAAATTCCAATAAGAGTCTTGCTCCACTCCACCCCATCTCTTCCCCCTTTCAAATAATAAATTGTGAATTGTGAAATTATTTCACAATTCTCCTGGTTTTCATGAAAACTTTTCCTTCCAAAGTGAAGCATAGTAAATGCCCAGGAAAAGAAAAAAGGGGGGGGGGGGAAACAAAAATAAGATATAACAGGAAACAGGAAAGTAGAAGGTAAAAATTGAGAGCTCAGTAACATGAAATTTTGCCTTCTGTGCATGCCTGAAATTCGGAAGCATCAGGAACAGAAGGCAGAAAGCAACATTGAGGTTCTTTGTGGCCAGATAGTGACCAAAACACACATCTCATAAGCCACTGAAAATTTTGCTGAAAACACTGTTTAAAAGTAGTCAAGACATTTTGTCATTTCATGTTTGAATCCTGCTTTAATAAAACAATGCAGTCTGCAAAGACAAAAAGGATCAACTGTACAATTATCAGTGTAGTGCATGAATGACATCAGCGTGACTCATTTGCAGTTTTTGTCTGAGTTTCGTCATTTTTCTCATTTTAATGACAAAAGACAGACAAACATGACATTTTAATGACAAAAGTCAAACAAAAGTGAGGAATTTGCTAATTAATGTTAATAATGTTAATTTAAGTTTGTTTGTCTGAGTTTTGGGTCTATAAATGGTAACTGCGCACGGCACTATTTGAAGTTACCTCAAATGCTGGTGAGAAAGGTCTCCTCAGTCTACGTTTCCTCTCAGTTTCTGCCTTCAGTAATTCAGCCAGTGGAGATTGTCGAGTATTGACTGGTCCTTTATTTGCATTTTCTTTATCCAGTTTAGAGGGTGATCCCCAGATGTTAGAAGATGGTGAGATCTAGAAAAACCAACAGTACATGTTACTGAGTGGCACTGAAGAACCACGACAGGATTAGCTCAGTCGGTAAGACGCTTGATTGCAAAGAAGGAGGTCGTGGGATTGCTTCCCGGAGCCAGACCAATACTCAGCCCTGGTATTAAAATAACTGAAAAATGAAGGTATTGCCTTTGCCCTGCAAACTGGTAGACCTTCACGTGGCTTGAATGGCCATGTAAAAGGGCAGTCCCATCTCCAGTAACAGATGTAAAAAATAGTGTCCTCAATTCATACTTTCATGCTAAATACATTGACACTCAAATAAAGTTTACTTTTTAAAAGACATGAAGGCTTCATGAAAGGTCACCCTTATTAACAGTTCTGTAACTGATACATTTGTGCCCCCATAAATGGATACCATTATAGAGGGGGGATAAGCATTTAGAAAAAAAGACAAAGTACATGTACCAATAACAACAATGAAAACAACAACAAAACTATTACTTCAATATTATTATGGCATGTACACGCACGGGTGTATAATGCAAATAGCTGACTCATGATTGTTATGTCCCCCACACTATAAGTTTTTGGTTTATAAAGTATCCATTGTCACTCTAATAAGAATAATATTATTAAAAACCAATGTATTGTAAAGTCCCACTTCTGGGAATTAAATATAGTCAAACCCCATTAATAAGGACACTGAAATGGCCATAGAAACCATCCATACTAATGAGGTGTCAGTAAACCAGGGTTTGATTGTATCCTGTTTGACCTACTAAAAGTCCCTACCCTACTGACCCCCCCCCCCCCCCACCACCAAAAAGGCCTCTGAAAAGTTCTCTTGGGGTAAGACAACCAAGTGAACTTGGATACATTTTGCTTCCTCTTAAATACATGGTGTACACCTAAACAATAAGATAAGGGATGTAATTTGTTGTGTACATGAAGGACATAAATAAACTGAAAATTGTTTTAGAGTGCCCTTACCAGATCATGTATTGAAGTTGTTGATGAAGGACTTGACAGTGGTGAAGTACCATCCCAAACTGGATTAACACCTGATGGGTGCTTGATATCCTGAGGTACATGTGGAAAGATCATTATTATTAATAATATTACTATTCATTCAAAATATTTTGCCATTTCTGATTGGCTAACTCTTCAGAACCAGCAGAAAAATGTGAGCAATATGCCATTGATTTAGTGGTATATTGCTTCAAAACCATTGATCAACCTTGTTTCCAGATACAGCAACCTAGCTGTTAATGCATTAATTCCTATGTAAACTAAAAATGGTGTTCATGGCTGAATTTCTGACTAAAACTGAATGGAAGAAACCCAAGAATACACAAAACATATTCCTTGATGGATGTTACAGAGTATCTACATTTTGCGCAGCATTTGCAAGGAAACCACCTGTTTATATCCTGAAACTGCGCCGAGAAACAGGCTAATGTTTTGAAGAAAGTCCATGAGGTCCAAGTAAAAAATAATTAAACAATTAATATATTATTGCAATCAGCTTTCATATGACGTGAAGAATTATGCAGATCTTGGAGGCTGTTAATAATCCAGCTTGGATGATAACATTCTCCTTGATCTGCATAATTCTTCACATTATATGGATTATTCCAGAATACTGTAGTGTTGGTCCATAAAACAATTTTTTGACCCACTTACTGATATTTGTTTAATTTAGTGTATGCACATGTAGCACGTGGCATGTAGAAGTCACATGATTTATGCAAGAAAATAATAAGGCATTTACAACAAAATGGGTCCTTGTACAGAACTATGTGATTAGTATTGTTAAAACACGTTATGAGAAGGCAACATGCTTTTAATTACCAATACATTCTAGGTTAGTTTCTTTCTTACTCAATACATTCAAGAATAACAAACCATTAGCATCATTTTATGTTATGTGTTGGCCTAAATTTGATGAAGATGTAAATGCTCTTATTCAAGTGTTGACTGAGCGGTTGCTTACAAAAACCCAAAAAACAAAGAAAAATACAGCCACAGTTCAAATGGAGTTCCACATTTGAATACTGGTGGTAACAAGAGCTGAGTAAAGCTGGTTGCTTTTCAGAGTGGTCAAAAGGAGAGCTTTGTTCCACTCATTGGAAATACATGTAATTTATACAGAAAGAAAGAATGCCAAATGTATATACAGGGCTCAAAATAACGGCCGGTCAACGGACAATGTCCGGCCTGATCGTGGGCTTGACCGGTCAAACTCTCGTCTGGCCGGTCATTTTGACCGGTCATTTTTGGATGCTTGTCGCTTAATGCGTTTTGCTCTATAACGCTGTAATTCGCTGCTTTGCACTAAACCCTTTAAAGAAAAACGTTCTGCTTTGCTGTGATCAGTAATGCGACCTTCTTTGGGAAAACATTCGCTAACAATAATCTGTTATTTTTTAGAAAACTAAAGGATGAGTGACAGTTTTTGTCCATCAAACGTTTCACATCTACTTGTAACAGGACTGTGAAAATCACCTTCGACGGGATTTGGGCTAATCGATCCCTCGTCCTGTACTGTTTCTCTGGGAATAAATTTCAGCGCATCGATTAATTTTAAAATTTCTTTACGTCGAACATAATCTCATTTGCAGACACGATTCCAGAATTGTCTGATAAAAACTAAGCTAATCGAGAACGAACGTCGCCTATCTCTGCTATATCGGCGTTTAAAATCCTCCTTCTTGATAAGCTGTTCGCGATAAAGTGTTGCGTGACGACCCAAACGAAAGCTCTCCTGTATATTTATTGACTTCTGATGACGAATACCCTGTTTGCGGAACAAATTTCTTGCCAAATCAACTTCTTTACCGCAAATATTTAGCGACGAAATTCTTCTTTGTGGAGGGGACTTTCGATCATGTGCCGGGCAACGAAAAGGATCAAGTTTCACCGATATACAGATATAGGACGAACCTTGGAGACTTCCGACACCGCCGTACGATGATGCTGAAGGTATATATAAACGGACATAAAACAGGCGAAAATCGCGGAAAGGAACTCAACAACGTGTGAATGAATTTTTCACCAACTTGGCGGCAAAAACTCGAACGACAATGCCGTACTGCCAGGGTAATTCGATATTCCATGGGCAACAAAGTAATTATAATTAATTTGACCGGCCAAAATCGGGGTTTGTCCGGGCTAAAAAATAATTGGCCGGTCATCATGACCGGCGACCTGCTGTCCGTTATTTTGAGCCTTGATATACAGCTGTAGCTGTTGGTATGTGACTTTCGTGCTGCTGCTTAACCAGCTTATTGAAACTTCAGTTATTCTATTTAAATAGATATGACTAAATAGAATACCTTGTGCTTGGACCTTCTGGGGATGGGTATGGAGTCAGCATCATCATCATCAACCAGTTTGGTCAAGTTTTGTTCAAGAATCTCCTATTTAGAAGGAGTTGATTCTATAAGTAAATGTTTTCACAACAGCTAAAATGAACTGCTGTACAATAACCTTAATACAGGTACCTTTCTTAAGCCATTTATAATCCTTCGCCATTCTTTCCTACTTACTTGAGGTAGATGTCAAGGCAACCTTAAGTATTGTGAGCTGTAAAGATTATTCTAGTTAACTTTCAAATGAAAAGGTCCATTGAGTAATGTCCTTACTGAGTCCTGGTCTATTTCAAATTCTCCCTTTACAAGGCAAATACGTTTTAGAGATTTTCCCTGTAAATACATGTACAGGAAGTCTTCTTCATGCAGTCAGGCACCATTGTGATATAAATGAATCTTAAACAGTAGCTGGTAGAGTACTGCAGGTTTTAATCTGATGATGTATTGACTACTCTACTTTACCTCTTCTCGGTCCAATTCATCTTCAGGATCTTCCTTTCCCGTTATTTTCAACTCTTTTGTTGTTGTTAATCTAAGATCACTTGACTGGAGTTCAAACCCTTTCTTCTTAAGCCACTCATCATATTTAGTTTCATGTGTCCCTTCCGAATGCAAACCTGACAACTTCCTGTGGGAAAGTTCCCAGTCATCCTCTACAAAAAAATAGATGGGAAGAAGCCATAAAGTCTGGGTTTTTTGTGTTTCAGCAGGCGGGGAGATTCCAAACATACATGTTTTTCATTTCAAAAAAGAAGAACTGTAGAATGTTTAGTCCTAACTTGGTTAAAAATTAAGGGTTTGCTATGTGACACTTCTCTGATAAAACAGACATCCAACATGCTTCATAAAATATGACCAAATTTTCATGATACAGCAGAGGTCCAACTTCCTGCTTTACTGCAATGCTACAGTGCAAAGCCAGGTCCTGTTGACTTAATAGAACATTTTACTCCAAAAAGATCTTATACAACGTAAGTGGTTCCTAAATTTTCAATATCCAAACCTTCTGATAATTAACAGAAGTAAATTAGGTTATCGAGCTTCTTTGCGCAGTTTACCCTTCGCGCTTGTACCATGTCACTTATTTCAGCGAGCGAATTTACCCAATTTTTACCACGTGGTTTTGCTCACTGTGTATAAGCAAGAATGTCTTTGGAAAAATACACTTTAACCTGTATAAAGTATTTTCTTACCTAAAGCACCGGAGCCAAATGTGTCGTCATTTAACTGGTCGTAAGTTTCTCCTTCTTTGAGATTTGTCAACGTTGGATCCAATTCATGAAGTTCTTCGTCCTCAAAGACCTGAAAAACAACATTGAAACAGCACTTCTTAAGTGAAATAATATTGCAAAATTACTTAAGATTGTAAATTACAACTTATTTTGCTCCACGAGTGCAATTAAAATAACGGGGACGTACTGGAATCCCTTCACCGAAACCGATGAACGGGTCCGCCATGTTGACATGATGAAGATGTAGTTAGTGCGCATGTCTCATCTGATTTCATACCCAGACCTCCGGAGGAGAATGTCGCGGAAAAATCGAAAGGATGTAGTCTCGTCTTAATATCCACAGCCAAAGGAGGGCACGGGAACACAGGAACTAAGATGCATAACTTCTCTCTCACAGTCTGACGCACTAAAACTAACAAGATCCATCAAGAGAGTATATTGTCAACTAAGTTGATGGAGCCAAATTTTTGTGTTCAATTTCCCGAACAAGACAGTAAACTGCACGGACTCACAATGTGGTTTTTGTGGTTGCGTCGCATTATCAAACTCCAACTGCACGCTCTTCTGGTTGTACACGTTCCTGCTGAGTCTTTTCATGGGGAGTTATACTGTTTTAAAGTGTCAAAATGAACAATCACGCATGCACAGGATGCATATTGCGCGTAAAATCAAATCTTAACTTATAGGTGAAAGTCGCAATAAATATTTGCTCAATGTTGTGAAAATATCTCATATTTCCCGGAAATTTCCCAGATTTCCCGGTTCCCGGTAAAATCCTCAGATCATTCCCAAATACTTGAGGCCACTTGCAGCCGTCCTTGTTTTTCTTCAATCTTATCAGCCGCGCGAGCTCGAACTCGCGTCCTTTTGTCTGCTAATATACTCTCGAGGGACTTGTAGAGACTGCTCCAAAGAGAAAGCTTGCTCGCCGGCTACTTCAATCTCGAAAAAAATCGCTTTTCCAAAACCAAGCCATTTCAACTCATTTTACTGGCAAACATAAATTTAAAAAAGCCGTTTGCCAACGTGCAGCTTTGGCTGTGCGCAGAGACGAGATCCTGGGAACGAGGACACATACAGATACATGTAAGATGCGTTGTTAATTTGCTGATGACTACAGAGGAATTTAGTGAATTTAGACAAGTTGACAGCCCGGACAGCTACGTAAGCTTGCACCCTTAGAAAATCTACTTATGTTTGTGGTTTCCCTATTGATCCGAGGATTATGATTTATGAGTTCAAATGAAATAATGCTGTAATTAGCGGACTCGAGCTGTTCTTCAGAGCGGGTGACTTATCCCAGTAAACATTAACACCTATAAGGGAAATAAATATTTTTGTCTATCAGACAAAGATCTGTATCCATAGGATGATTTATGATAATCCACTCTCTGAAACCAAGTCCTAAAACGTAAGGAACAAAAAATAATTTCCTGGTCTTTCGGCGAGCGTTTATGAAGGAACCACTTTACCAACGAAATCATGCAAAGGAATGCTATAATTACGTTCCACGGTACGGACTATTCTAAATCTTATCAGTTTTTTTAGCAAGTGATAAAATTGACGACTGTTGTTTAATTTAAACTTAATTGCTACTTGACTATGCAAAGTCAACTACAGATTGTATGTACTTTCTAACCTTCAAATTTTGTTTCAATCCTCACTGTTGACAACTTCTGCTGTCACATTCTACTTGGATATTCCTTGCTTATATAAAGCAAGAGTCGCAATCTTTTTAGGGTATGATCAAAGATCTTCAAAGATCTCTGACGTCTGTTTTCAGCTTCTTCAAAGAAGAGGACTCAATATAACTGAAGTAGGAGAAATTAACTACACCGCATTGTCGACTTCATTACCGTGAAGATTGAATTTGCGCCCCATTTAATTGGTTGGCAACAAGCGATGACGCACAAATCTGTGTGCAAAAATACACGGCCTGTCATCCGTTGCTTAAACGCTCTAAAACACTTCTCACGGCTGTGAACGGCATGCAAAATAAGGAGAGGGGAGCAATTCATAAAACAAGATTACAACAAGTGTGAGCTCTTGAAAATGTCATCCGCATGGCACCCACCGAAGGAAGACTACCCCTCGGTGCTTTCAGATCGAGTTTACTCAATTCGCCGTCTCAACAAGATGGAATCCCAGAGGTTGCACTCACAGTTAAATTACTTGAATGCTGAAATTGCTCAGTCAAAGTCACTGATATCCCAGGAGCAAACTGCATTAAGAAAAGAGTTAGAACAGATCAGAAAAGTCAAGGACAATCCATCTATTGGTCTTGAAAAAAGAAAGCTTCTCCGAAAAAATTTTTCCAGCAGAAGTCAAACTTTTAGACATGGCTTATCCTTGGAAACGCAAGCTATGCAGTCAAGGTTCCGCTCATTATCAACCGGCCAAGCCCCCAACCGGAACTCTCAGCTTACCCCACTTAGTATACGACGCAGGAGTAAGAGCACTACTTGTCCACCACTTCGTGTAGGAGTGGATGAGTTATCAGGGGCGTTTTACGCCATGAACAGTGTTGAAAGGAATTGCCAAGGTGATGCTAGATGTCAAAAAAAGCGAAGTTTCAGCACGAGTATCCAACTTCAAATTTCGGAATTAGAAACAGGTGCCAACGCAAAAACTAACGGAATTACTGACACCGAAGGAGCTGATTCTGAGGTGTTAACCGATACTAAGACTCTGAAGTGGGAGAGAGCCAATAGGTTAGAAAACACCAAAAAATGTGATCTCGAACGTGGCGGCCCTCGGCTAATTCCCATAGATTTCAGGCATGAAAGGGGCAGCAATGTTTCGGGAAAGCTCCTCCCAACTCGAAGAGTACGAAGCTACAGCACAAATAGCACACCCATCATTTCAAAAGGAAAAGTGGTTGGCCTAAGCGGCCAAACAACCACAGTTCCTCTGCAGTCTGTTGATGCAGCAAGACAGAGACCAAGATGCTGGAACACATCTTGTACCTCCAAGACGATCGAAGAGAGAAGGTTGGGTGTGCTTCTTGACAGCCCTGTAATGAAAACAGAACTTCGACAGAGTACTCCCATTCCGGTGAACAGAAGGCGAAGAAGTCTTAGCACCAATTGCCCTCCTGTGATTTTAGAGCGGAGGGGAACTACGCAAACTGACAACAATTGTTTGAAGCCAAATTTGAAGAAAGAGCCATTCAAAGGTAATGAAGGAAACTTGCCAAACTTTGAGAATAAGGAGAAAACCATTTCCAAAGAGCAAGTCCAAAACGGAGCAGCGCTTCCGGAAACAACAAATGGCCACAATAACACTCTGAGCAGCTTACATCCTCTATAGAGATACCGGAAGGGGAAAGAACGGGAAACAGGGATGGAATTTCCCTGCTGCTGTTGTAGACACGGGTGCATATACTTCTGCTAGTATCAACAAGGTTGAATAGGACATCGTTTCACCTAAATACCGTCAGTAATAGTTGTGTATAAATAACACTTCTAATAGAATTCGCATTTTTTTTATATTGGGCTTAATGACAGCCCACCTTAGCAAGAGATCGGAGCGTTTCAACAGTGTGTATAAAGAGTAACTACTGTAAAAAACCAGAAGGCTTGTCTTTGCAAGATTATTTTTCGAAGATCTACTATACGATGAGCTGTACCCATTTGCACTACCTGGTTAGTTTGGTGTTCATATCACAGACGTCCACGTCAGTTCGCATCACATATACTTTATGCATTTTTATCTGTTTTCAGACTGCCGATTTGAATGCCTAGTCTCTAAATGCCATGTTAACTAGACTGTAACTAGGACAAAACCGAAAACATGAAAGTTTTAAAGGAGAAAATCTTGATTTATAAGCCAGCACTAGCATGACCAGACGACACATGTGCATTGAATCTGATATGGTCCCTCGTATGAACAAGCCTATTGCTGTACCTAATTTTCAGATCGACCGGTTGTAGCATTAATTAAAAATGTTCGTTTTCGTGGACGACATCACGATCAGTTACTAGGAGGAAATGAGCTATAACCACTAACAAGATTTACGAACCTTGGATGACTGACAAGGGACGCCGACTTTAATCCCCTTCTTATATCAAATTTGTTGATTTTAACAGACTATATTACTTTCTTGGACACTTCTGTTAAATTAATTCTCGTGTAGAATCGCACGCAATTCTTAAAATAGAAAAATAGCCCCAGAGCCCTGTAGACGAGTCTTGCGTTTTTTTTTTTGCGACGAACTCGTCCCCAGGGCTTTTCCTCTTGAAAATAGGAGGAAAAACTGGGGAGAAGCCCTCGGAATGAGATTGGTGAAGCCGGTTGCCCGGCATGTGCAATCGATAAAACCGATAATCGATAACATTCGATAACAATCGATAAAAATTAGTAAATTGTATCGGAAATCGATTAAAATCGATAAAAGGACACGTTGTGAGTAATCGATAATTATCGATTTTTAAATTAATGTTATCGATTTTATCGAATTTCTAAAATGTATCAAATCTTCCATAAAAACACTCTTACGATTCAATGAATCAAGTAGGACGAATTTAAAGATTTATTTAACAAATCGATAATTGAATGAATACTGATAATCAAATAATATTAACACGATTCCCTGGCATGATTCAACGGTGAAACGCAACATAACATAACCGCTTTTTGTATTTACTCAGAAACTGTTCAAGCTAAATGTCGTAATGACATCCTACAAATACATGTACTACGAAGTACGAAGCTGCGTAGTTGTAATGCTAGACATTGTCTCCAGTAAATGTTTTGTCAGCAAAACCCTCGCCGCCGCAAAAATCATACTACAAATCAGAGCTAAAATCATTCTATAAATAAGTAAAACGGAGTAAATGATGAACTCCGCAACTAAAGCAGAAGAGAGGTAATGAAACAAAAATAACTGATATAAATTTGAAAGGAACTCAACATTAAGAAGCTCAGAAAACATGTTTGTAAATGCCGTCCGACGGCACAGCTAATGGAAAAGTTGGCCGAGAACTTTGACTTAGAGCAACACCAAGTAAGCTTTTTCCTGGAGATATAAAGTAAAATCATCGAGAGACCTTGCGAGAATATACCGGGAATATAAGAGTCAAAATGATTAACCGGGATACGGTTGCATGCAATAAACATATAAACATATAAATTTGGTTTCTTTTTTTTTTCCTTTTAGGTTAAAACATGGTTCCAGAACCAAAGAAACAAAAGAAAAAACAAAGAATGAAGTTAATGTGTTGACTG